AATATGATATATGTAAAATAATCAAGCACTCACACATCAGAATTAAATTAAGAAAAAAATGATTTAGAAAATTATTTTAAAATGTTGATATTGTTAAACCTGCAAGAAAGAACAACTAACAGCACAGAGGAATTTGGTTAGAAAATGTAGTGGCAGAGAATGGGTTTTAGGCTTCTATCATTTCTCTGTATTTCTTGAATCAACAGTACACGTATATATGCTAATTTGCTGTAACCGAAAGGTAAGAACGACGCTTGCAGAATGTTGAGGAGGGCGCACGTCTGCCAGGCATGTGATGGCCATGTGCGATAGTGGAAATGAACTTGCTCTGGTAAACATACTACCAGAGTATGTTAACAGCCTCCCTCAAGCGGATGACCAGAAGCTTGTTGCGCAGATTGGTGAATTGAATTCGTGGAAGCACCTTAGTGTAGATATGAGCTATTTGATCCAGGGAACTAATATGGTGCACATTGACTGAAGCAGATTTTATGCAATCCCATATGAAATGATAGTCCACTTATATGTGTTTAGTTCGGGCATAAAATACTGGATTATGGGCAAGCGCTATTGCTGAGACATTATCACAATAGAGAGAAGTACGAGCTGTAATAGAGAACTGAAAGTCAGCAAGCAAGCGTCTGATCCAAATAATGTCGGTGGCAGCAGTGGCTAATGCTCGATATTCAACTTCCGTGGACGAGCGTGCCACAGTAGGTTGCTTCTTCACACACCAAGAGATAAGATTATCACCAAGAAATAAGCAATAACCCGTGGTAGATTTCCGGTCGAATGGGTCACCTGCCCAGTCGGAATCGGCATAGGCACGCATAGATAAAGAACTAGAACGAAGTTGCATACAAAAATCAGTAGTGCCCTTAACATAACGAAGTAGATGTTTTAAACCCTGAAAATGATGTTGTAAAGGTGTATGCATAGCTTGACACAACAGATTAACGACATAAGAAATATCCGGACGGGTTATTGTTAAATATTGAAGAGCACCTACAAGCTGTCGAAACAGTTCGGGATTTTCATCTAAGCTTAACGACTGTAGATTTGTATGAATTGTCGTCTTGAATCCTTGATACGAGGCCGGCAATCCATTGAGAATATACATGATGACATCCTCTGAATCCAAAATACAACCAGCAGCTGTAAGTTGATCTACTTTGATTTTAATTTCAGTTAAAAATTATTGCATCGTCTTGTTTCCCATAGTGATGAAGTTAAGATCATTTTTCAGCTGAAGAATATGGGAACGATTGGAAGATTGTAGCCTCTTGCCGATGGTTTGCCAGATTTCGGAACACAAATCCAAATGCAGAACGTAAGG